ATTTCTATAAAATTAGCCCCCTTTCTGTTGTCTTATTTTTACAGTTTCTCCATAGTCCTATGAGATAATTTTTGTGTCACTTAGCTGCTTTGCGTAAAGATAGTGGAACTTTTGACTCTTCTGAATTTAAATGATAGTCACTACTTTGGGAAATTGCACAGGCATTTAGGAAGTAGCTGCTGGTATCCTTAAGGGAAGAGTTTCCAGAGGCATTAAAGGTAGATTACGGCCCTGACCTGATGCCTCTCTTTCTCAGATAGAGGGGCAGACATCAAGATCACTCCACTTTCAGGGCCTCAATTTTCTTCCTGAGGGTGCTTGTCTATTAAAGACCTGGGTGTGAGGAGTGGTGGACAGTGGCCCCCAGAAGCAGCTCTTGTGAAGGGCAAAATGCAGCACAGATTGTGGTGGGTGTAGCCATAGTGTGTTCGCTCAGTAAATGGTAGCCATTGCCACCAGCATGGTTTTTGTTATAAGACTTGGTATGGTTCAAGATTTACAGACATTGAAAGGAAAGATCTTGTTAGCCATCCATGATTAAATTGTGGATTTGCATTTCTAGCTCTATGCACAGCTGGTGGAATCTTATAGCGCACCGTAAATCATGTTAGCCTGAGGACCTGTTTAGAGGTATTTGTGTGAGCTATAGAATGGCTCTGTTACAATGTACACATACTCCTAAAACTCAGCATACTATTTCGGCAGTGTGGTAAATACCACAGAGATTATGGGAAGCAGAGTTAGGGCAGCCATTCCCAACCACTCAGAAAAACCTTATGTGAGTTTGACCCTTATCCCCAGGGGATATTTACAATGTCTATAATTATTTTTTGGTTGCTAAGGTGTGGTAGGGGAGCTCAGAGTTGGGTATTCCTGGTGGATAACAGCCAGGACAGTTTGGTGTTACTAAACACCCTTTAACGCACAGGCTCCCCACTTACCCCCAGCAACGAATTACCCAGCCAGCATCTCAGTAGGGCGGCAGCAGAGAAACCCTGGATTTGTGCACAATACTCAAAAATTACAGAAAGGAGAAAAAAAAAAAAAACAACGATAAAACCTGATTAAATACTAGTACAATTTAACTTGTGCTAAACGTTTCATAGGTATGTAAGTAAGCAATATATAGTGCAGTCAGCCTTGCCAATGACCTGGCATTTGCCTGTGGAAGGGGGTGCCAGCGGGGCTGCTGTTTGTGAGCTAATGGGAAGTGGTGGAAGGGGCTTCTCTGACCCCCAGATGTAGCACAGGCATGCCTGGGTGCGGTTCATTATACCCGGTGAGCTGAGGTGGATGGTGGATGGTGCAGGATGTTCCTATGCATGTAGGGCGTTGTTCCCATGAAGTGCAGGCCATTGGACACTGCTTTCTGCGCTCGTCTGAGCATCTCCATGATTAAGTTGTGAGTCAGTGAATGTGAAATCCAGTTGATGTCCAAATGATTCCTTACCATCCTCATAGCGCTGAAGCAGGCCCCTGTTTACAAAACAAGCTAGAGACCAGAACTGAGCTTGCGCGGCCAATCCCACAGAGCTGACTCAAACGATCCGAGTTCACAGGATCCAAGAGACTTTAGCCGACACAACCGAACAAAGAAAGGTTTCAGAGAAAAACCTTGGGGCTGCTCCTATCAGCCTGCCCCATGTGGTATTGTATAGCATCAGACTTTTCTATGACCTGGCAAGTGCCCCGGGGCTATTTATATATATCAAAGTCTATTTAAAATCCTGAACAATGCTGAAATGTTTAAAGGCAAAACTGTATGATATATAGCATTTGTTGAAAAACAATCTGAGGAGGGACTGTGAGTGGAAGGGGCTAAGAGCAAACTAGACTGGCCATGAGTTGTTCAATGAGATGAGGAGGGGGGACGTGAGCTTTGCCTATCTTCTTCGCCAGATTGTTGCGTACTGCAGAGAGAAAGAAAGACGGTTGGTGTAATCATGATGCAGCCGCAGTGGACTTGCAAGCGGGCTGGGTTTTTAGAGGGTCATGCTGTTTTTCAACGTCATTTGATGTCATGCTAGTGCACGGAAACACCATACTGTAAGCTTGGGATGCACTGAAGGTCCATGAAGCTAGCCCGCGCCCTTTCCACAAGTCCCAGCGACTCTTGAGGACGGCACAGTAGGTAGCAGAGCCAAGTGTCAAAGGGAAAAAAATGTGCACCCAAGTCGTGGTCAGTGACCGGGAGAAACCAGAGTTTCACTGGACTGAGATGACACAGTCCTGGTGGGGGAGGAGAGACTCTGAGCCAGGGGAGGCATGTAAACCTCGTGAAAACCCAGGGAAGCAGAGAGCTTGGCAAAGCGCTCTGGTGGGTGTTAGACTTTGACCTCACTGAGAGGCCTGATTTTACTGAGCGTCCGTGGGCAAGTTAATCTAATCAATCTGAGAACTTTTGTTTTCTTCCCAGATTGTGAAAACTGGATTCTTTTGGTAATGAAAGGAAAAAAAAAATCAGATGTCTAAAGAAACAAAATAGGAGACTGGGGTCATGAAACCGAAGACACCGAGAAACTCGTAAGCGATTTTGGAGGCCATGGCAAAAAGTAGAGATACTCGCAGCCCCCCTCCCCCAGGGCACACAAGAATTCACAAAATTCGCAGACCCCCAACAGCCACCGGAGCACAGGGTTAAGTGCTTGGGTGAGGGACTGTTCCCAGCGTCTGCATCCGCCTCTCTGCAGCGGATGGAGGCAGGGTCTGTAGGTCTGTCATCTTAGCTCTGCTGTCTCCCCTCCTCTGTTTCTTCTCATCTCTTCCTCCAGCCTGAAGCATTGTTTACTCTGCCCTCCAGATTTCACCTCATTCCTCATGGTCCCCAGCTCCTGGGATGCCTTTCACAATCTGGGCTGCTATGGATGCTCCCCCTCTGAGCTCACCCTAACTCTTATCTGTGTTGCTATTCTGGTCCTCAAGTGTGCACTCTCTTTGAATGCTTATCTCTGATGCCTGTGCACTTTTCCTTCTGTGCCTGCAGGGGATTTGCTCCGGCAACCCCCGTGGATATGAAAGTCTGCAGTTGCTCAAGCCTATAGCCTCAGCACAGCTTCCCACCCACTTTCAGGCATCTAGATTACTTCTAACACCCAATATAATACAAATGGACACAGTTATACCATTTTGCTTAGGGAGAAACAACAACAACAAAGACCCCATTTGTTCCATAAAGATTTCTGTTTTGATTGGTTGAATTTAAGGCTTGTGAGTCCACAGATAGTGAGAGCTGTGTCCTCTGTGTGTGTGTGTGTGTGTGTGTGTGTATGTGTATGAGTGTGTGTGTGTGTGTGTGTGTGTGTGTGTGTGTGTGTGTGTGTACTAACTACAGTGCAAACAATCTGAGAGGGACTGCTTATCAAATTTCTTAGTAAATGGTCTCAGCATCACAGAAAAAAACTGATAGACATGTGACTAAGGTAAGCACGCATAAAATACTGATTAGGTAAATATCCTGTCCTTACTCCTCTCCCACTAGCTTAAAGCTAGATATCTGTGTTCTTTGTGTTTGGAGTACCCGTTCCCACTGGGAATCTCTAGCAAATGCCTATTTGTGTTTCGACTGTCAGTTCAAAGCCCTTAAAGAAGTCTACTCCACCTATTCCCCCCTTTCAGCTCCCTGGACCTACTCTGCCTTAGGCTCCGTGAGACATCTGACTCACAGCTCTACATAGCACACCATGTGACCAAGATCTCCTACGGGCAGCACACACCCTAGGGAACATGGGAGTATACTAGGTGTAGGGTACACAGACGAACAGGTTTCCTTGTATGTGTATTTATTTTAATGTGCACATAGAATAGTGTAATGGCGTACCTACCTATAATTTCCCAGAGCATATAGGTTAGGGTGAAACTACACTTAATAAAGGAAAGATAGCCTGAAGAAAAGTAGTGGGGAAAACGATAGTCTAGTTACTGATTTTTTTTCCAGGGAATCATAGGAAGGTGGGGTGCAATCAGGCAGGCCAGCACTGGAGAAGGTGGATATGTCATAATACAGTTATCTTTCTATGTGTTTTCCCCCTCAAAGGCAGGTCTCAGAGGGCAAGGATGGGACCAAAGTAAGAGCCATAGGTTCCAGAACTCCCGTATTCAGGGAGAGTTGACTGAACAGAAGTAGATGAGAAAACATAGAAAGCCTGCCCCAGAATTCCCCTTGCCCTCCTCAAAGCGCTGTGGTGGCTGGTCTTAGAACAGAACCAGTTAGGAATAGCCCAGATATCCTTGTCCCCACCACTTCCCCAAGGGGTCCCACGGAGGACCAGAAGAGCCTATACTCACATAATTCCCAGATGCCTTTGTTTGCTTATGTGTTCTTCCTGGGTTTTCTAGCAGGAATGCCTACTTGGAGATGTGCAAAAACTTACCTTGCCTTTAACACAATTCACCAACAACTCCCAGAGACTCACTCACCATGAGGACTAGTCTCATGTCCCAAGCATTTGCTCACTCTTCTGAACAATGGTGATTACCTGACTCATGGGGGTTACTGAAAGAGAGGAGAAGCAGACTGCCACTGTTGTGCAGAGGAAAAACTGAGTCAAGTTTTCCTCTGGGTACCTGGGAGGAAAGACTAGAGGGTGGTCCTGGAGTGGGAGGTCCACTGGCCTCTTCCCCAGGGAGCCACTGAAATTTTGGAATTCTGAAGGTCTTTGTGCAAAAGGTGAAGGGTGTAGTGGAGGGAGGGAGCCCTGGCTGGGAGGGAACAAAGAGAGGAAAAGGGAAAGGCAGGGTGCTTCCACTTTTCAAGGTAACATAGCTGAATGAATCCCAAATTGAATTTGGCTCTAAGCACTAGTGATTCATTTGGAGACGAATCACAAAGGGCCCTTTCCCCCTAGTTTCCGCTTCACAGATTTCCCAGGCTAAAAGGGCGGCCCAGACTTGAGTCACTGGTTTTAGGAAACCCAGAAATGATAACACGAACCAGATCTGACCTGTGGGAGATTAACCCTATGTTTACAAGGATTCCTTAAAAATCATTTATCTGCCCTCAGACCTGGATTCCTGCAAGTGCACTGACCCTGGCTGCTGGCTCTGCTCTCCTGCACTGTGTCTTCCTACTTTGAACACCCACCTAACCAAGCAACAGGTCAAAACGGTGATCGATGTGGTTTGCCACTGATGAGCAGGTACACCAAAGATAAGTTCATCTTCTTTATGTTGTATGTTAGATACCTTTTTCTCTCTTTCTCTCTCTCTCTCTCTCTCTCTCTCTCTCTCTCTCTCTCTCTCTCTCTGTGTGTGTGTGTTCGTGTGTGTGTGTGTGTGTGCTCACGTGTGAACTCACTTGTGCACATGTGTCTGTATTTGTGAAAACCCAGGCCAATTTGTGGATTCTTACTTGGTTGCTCTCTTGTCGTATTAATAAAGGCAGTGGCATGAGTGAGAATGTCCCCCATAGACTCAAATGTTTGGGTACTTGGTCCCAGTTGGTGGCTCTGTTTGGGAAGGTTAGGGAGATGTGGGTTTGTTGGCCTTGTATGTCATTGGAAAAACCCCCCACGCCATTTCCAGTTCTCTCTCTCTCTCTCTCTCTCTCTCTCTCTCTCTCTCTCTCTCTCTCTTTTGTGCTTGAAGTTCAAGATGTGAGCTCTCAGACTCCATGCTTGTTACCATGGCTCTACTCCATTATCATGGACTCTTACCCTCTAAAACCGTAAGCCCAAATAAACTCTTCAATCTGGAAATGGTCTTGATCATGATGTCTTATCACAGTAAGGAGAAAGTAACCTGTTATTAGCAGCCTTTCTCAGTCAGCCCACAGCTACCTGAAAGGCTAGACTTGCTAGCCAGCTTGCTCTAGGGATCCCATCTCTGCCTTTTGAGACTGAAATTGCAGAGAGGCTGCTACATCTATCCTAAATTGACACGGGTTCTGTGGACCTGAACACTGGTCCTTCTACTCACACAGGAAGCACTTCAATCATAAAACCACTTCCAGCTCAAGTATCTTCAATAAACAGTTCACCTAGGATATCAATATAATTTCATTTTTATTTGACTAGAAAATAAGTTGCCACTTAAAAGTGCATCATTTCCTTCATTCCTCTAGAAAAGCCAGTGAGATAAGTAAAATCTCCTCCCTGGAAGATTAAGAGAATTAAATCACAGAGAGGTGAAGCCATGGGTCCTCCAAAGCACTCAGTTAACAGTTAACCAAGGGTAGAGCCAAGATAAGGACTGCAGGTTTTCTCTATTCCAATGATACCTTTTCACTCTCTTTATCATCTTTCTAGAAGCACTGTAGAAAATAGACTTAAGAAAAGCAAAGAGGAGACTCTGGCACAAATAAATTAGGACTTGCCACAAACATCCATCATCTAGGACATAGTCCTTGCTATGAAATAACTAAACACACTCACATTGTCCAGCCATTCATGAGTTGGGCAATCACTGTGAGTCTCCTGGGGATGTCCCTAAAGTTCCTTGCTTAGGACTCTACTGGATGTCTTCAATCTTTGACCCACACTCACATCATACTACTACCTCTTGCTCTTTTGTTAATGTCAGAGAGAGGATATAAGTGAATCAGAGTTGTGTCTTCCATTATTCTTTCTTTACTCTTTAATTCCTGGTGTTTGTGGATAGCGAGTACATAGCGCTCAGCAGTTGCTCATTTCCACGAGACTCCGAGATTCTGAAAAGGAACTTTCATCATGATTGTGGCTTCTCTTTTGTCATTTCCAATTCCAGGAGCATCTCTCCTCTCTCTGTGAAATAATTGAACTGCCAGAGTGGTATAGATGGAAAGAGAACAAAGGAGCTGATGTCACCCAAAGGAGCAAAAGATGAAAGGCAGCAAGGACCGCCTAACCTCTTGTGGCTGGGAGCTTCGCCACTCCCAGCCATACCAGACGCTACAGCTAGGAAGTGCCATTTGAAAGACTCCTGCTAGTCTGTTGCTTTTATTTTCTGAGCACTGCTCTCAGTGTTCCATGAGAATCCACGGGGCATCGTATTTCCAGAAACAGCCTCCTTATTCACGGACTGTCTCAAACGGACCGCTCAACTTAGACAAGATAAAAATGAAGCACAAGGGCGTCATATTTCCTAATTAACAGACAGGAGAATTATCAGCTGTTCCGAGAGCAGAGGCCCTGATGATGTCCTCAAAGCCACTTGATCATGGCCATCCTCACTGTCCTTCTGGAGGCAGGCAGCTCTAGGACCTTTTCACTTCCTAATGTGCTGCCATTCATGTACTTCTGGCTCATTTTATCCCCTGACTGTGCATCAGAGCTAATGATTGTCCTTTGTTGATGTTGTCCAGCCCGCCTTAAGCCCACGTTCACACTTTGCAGCATTCTTCTAGCTGCTGGGGAAACTGGATCTGGGCTGGCTTATAAAAACAAGGAATTTGCCTCCTCCTCCTCCCACAAGATCCCATCTCCTCAACATATTCTCCCTGGGAGGTTTTGCATTCCTGGGATCCCCCAACTCTCCAGGCACAATCTTGAGCCTATGGCTTATATCTGAGTGGAACTGACTGAATTAAGTATTGTTCCCATTCCAGATGGTGAAACCAAGACCTGTAGATTAAAATCATTGGCCCAATGTCTCAAAGGTAATTCATTGTAAGTGGCCAGGCTGTCATCAGATGGAATGCAAGGCTTTAATAAGGAGTATTTTAGTGGTCATTGTAGAGACATGGGCTGGTCAACATTCTAGAACAGTTACCTAATGCATCAGCAGCAGACAAAAGGTGATGAGGTACAAAGCGAAGAAGAGGCAGGAGGGGAGGGTAATATGAAAGACCATGGCAGGAACTCATGGAGTCATTGGCTTTGAGTGGCCACGGAAGTTGTTTGCCTTTGCCCTGAGTAACTATACTCCAGTTCTTAGGAATATGTTCACACTGTTACTCACTTGAGTAATTGAGCCTTGAGGCAACAAGATTACATTTCTTATCGCCCCTGTCTTTTTGTTTTTTGTTTTTGTTTTTTTGGGATTTCTCAAACATGCAAATATTCCTCACCCTGCAACTTCCCAGCATGGCAGAAATCAGACAACATTCTTGTCTCTGGCTCTACAGACATCTGGCACTGTCCTGTCCTGTAGGTACCCAGCAGCATCGCTGGCTTCCACCACGGGGTCTACACGCGACATGCCTCCTCCGGTCACAACAATTATAAATGACTCCACCACACCTCACTTAGCAAACTCATTCCAGGTGAGAATTACAAATCTAGATCAAAGCTTTCATGCAATCAGCAAGTGCTTAATCAGTCCATTATTGCTTACCCCACCACTTCATTTCCAGAATGTCTTCTGTCGTCCCTTTTAAAATATCTGTTTCATCACTTGCTTTCAAAACCATTCTTGGTCAGATACAAAATACTTGGTAGACTGAGGCAAAATGATCACAGGAGCCTAGAAATTTGAGATGTTCTCCAGAAGCAGAACAAGAATCATCTAAAAAACACACAAAGAAACAAAATAAAAACAAGAAATCATCAAAGCAAAACCAGTAGTACCTCTGAGGAGAAAACCAGACAAAGAAATTTGCACTGAGAATGTTTTCATTTTAATCTGGGCTCATTATCTAAGGCATGGACACTACCTCTAGCGGGCAAAGTTGAAGCACCATATATACAAATAGTTCTCAAAAGCTGCCTGCTTATAAGACATGAATGATGGTTCCTAAAGTATACTCTATGGAATGTAAAGAACGTAATTACAATTCTAAAGAATGTCAATATTTCACTATAGAGTTGTGTGGTTAAACAAATTTGAGAAATTAAGGTTATCCAAAATTAAACCTTTTTTTAAACTTCTTGGGCCTTCTCGGAACCTTTACAATGCTAATATATACTATCAATATTCATGAAGACATATGGTTTGCAGCTTTCATAATCTTATTTTTGTAGCACGGGTTTTTATAGTTTAGGGTCAGTAAAGCATAATCTACAGGCTAGATCTGGTTTACCACCTACTTTGCGAACAAAATGTTATTGGAACCCAACCAGCCCACCTATTTCCACACTGTCTGTGGCTCCACGTTGAGTCACTGTGATAGAGACAAGACAATTTTGAAAATCTAAATTCTCTACTGTTGAGCTTCCCAAAGAACAAGATAGTTGATCCTATTTCAGGCTGAATGGTTTAAATGGCACATTCACTGGGAAACATTAGCTTTGAGACCTGTGGTGTTGGAAAGAATTCTATAGTTTATCTATTCACTTGAGGCTCAGTGATGTCACGGTGAACAGGAAGTAAAGAACCACATTGAGAGCTTGTTACAAATGCAGATGTGTCTGGAATCTGGTCCTGACCTATTGAATCAGAACATCCAGGGTAACAGTTCAGTCACAGAGTACATTTCTAGTATATGCAAGGCCTTCAACTTGATCCTTCGCACTCTAAGAAGATAGACTGTTAACTGGGCAGCCAAGGAACTAGAGCTACCAGACTGTGTGTACAACTAATGCAATGTAAAGGACAAAGCTACCACAGAAACTCTATACTTTTACATTTTCTTAGAACTAGAATTCTTCAAGAGGCCTTCTCCAGCTTCTCTGGGTAAAGTTGCATGCACCCTACCCAGTGCTCCTACAGTTCACCAAAGGTCCCTCTATTCATGTATTCTCCATATTGCTGTAGTTTAGTGCTATGTATGGACATGTGACTGAGTCAGATAAACCTGAAGCCCTCTTTCATCTGGCCTGAGTTAAGTTACCCAAATCAACTAGCTCTTAGGTGCCTTCCTGAATTTGTGGGTAAGACATTTCACCTTAGGTTTCCACTTTCTCATAAACTTGGACATAATAGTTCTGAGACTCAATAAGGTCTCTGAAGCCGAAGTTCACAGCAGTGCTCCGTCAGGGTTAGTAAGAAACCAGACATAGGGGCTTATGCCGGCAATCCCAGCACCTGGGAGGCCGAGGAAAGAAAGTTGCCTTCAGTTCGAGGCCAGCTTGGGATACATAATGAATTCTAGGCCAGCTTGGACCATGAGTAGTATTCTGCTGAAACAAACTAAAATGAATAAATAACTAACTAAAAAGAAAGAAAAGGAGAGAGAAGAGACAAGATGTCAGCAAGGGAATTAGCGTGTCTCCATCCCCACAGGGCGGTCAGCTTTTCCAGGGAGAGGGCCACTCATAAGTCATCATCCTTGGATTCCCCAGTG